ATGCCCCATGCAGTTCGCTGAAAGGCCCACTGGGATTGGTTGGGAAACTTTGCCCCCCCGCCCCCCACAGCCCCCTATTTGGTGGTGTAGTCTCACCGTGGTGTCCAGTGGTGACTTGAGGGAAGCTTCTGGTGTTTGGGGGGTGTGAGTCTGTTTCTAGTTGGCTGTGGATCCTGGGCTGGGGATCAGCAAAGAAGGTTATTGTTCCCACACTGGTTACGGTTGGCCAGTGTCTGGATGCAACTGGGGTCAGCCTGGGTGGCATGGGTCACACGGGCTCTGACTGCCTGGTCCCCCAGGGGCAGAGATGCAGCCTTACGTGCAGATGGTCCTCAACAACCTGGTGGAAATCATTAACCGGCCCAACACGCCTAAGACGCTGCTGGAAAACACAGGTGTGCGCCAGGCCTGGGCCACTGCCGCCCCCTTGCCCGCCTCCTGGAGGTGGGGTTCCTGGCTGGGAGAATAGTTGAGAAGAGGCCTCGGGAAAGAACCAGGGAGGGTGCCTGGAAGGACTGGGAAGGGGGTTCTGGGAGGAGCCCCATGAAAGATGCTGGCCTCGGGGGAGACCTGGGAGAGACCAGGTGGGGTGGGAGGAGACCCTGGCTGGACCAAGCTTGAGGCCCAGGCGGCCAGCAGGAGTTGTTCCCTTGGGGCCCATGGGGCGGGGCTGGTGCCTCGTGCCAGAGGCCCCGCCACGTACCGGGGCCGCTCGGGGTTGCAGGTCGCCTGACGAGTCCCTCTGCCATTCCAGCCATCACCATCGGCCGCCTGGGCTACGTGTGCCCACAGGAGGTGGCACCCATGCTGCAGCAGTTCATCCGGCCTTGGTGGGTGCCCATCTGTGTGGGGCCTGCTGGACGGGGGGCCGGGCAGCGGGGTGGGGGGGCAGGCCCACCCATGGATGCACGTCCTAGCCCACTGCCTGCTGATCCCTGCTTCCCCCGCCCCCCATTGGTACATGTCACACCCAGCCCCACTGCCCACTGACCCGATTCCCCCCACACCACAGATGCCCATCCTGCCTCAGCCCCACCCACTGATTCCCCACTGCTCACGTTCCCCACAGGTGCACATCCCTCAGGAACATCCGGGACAACGAGGAGAAGGACTCGGCCTTCCGAGGCATCTGCATGATGATAGGCGTCAACCCTGGGGGCGTCGTGCAGGTTGGGGCAGCGGGGCTCGGAGGGAAGGCCCTGGGGCTGGGCTCGGGCAGCCCCTCACACGGGATCCGTCACGTTTCAGGACTTTATTTTCTTCTGCGACGCTGTAGCCTCCTGGGTGAGCCCGAAGGATGACCTTCGGGACATGTTTTATAAGGTGAGGCTCCCCCTTGGCCCTGATGTGGTCCCAGGAAGCGGCAGGGGGGCGACCCTCTGCGGGGAGAGGCCGAGTTCCTCTCCCGGCGCCCCTCAGCCCTCCCTCCCCACAGATCCTCCACGGCTTCAAAGACCAAGTCGGGGAGGAGAACTGGCAGCAGTTCTCAGAGCAGTTCCCGCCGCTGCTCAAGGAGCGGCTGGCTGCCTTCTACGGGGTCTAGATGAGCGTTGCGACCGCCAGGTGAGGAGGCTGTGTGCGGGGGGGCTGGCGCTGTTGTGGGGGCTGAGGGGCGCGGGCCCTGACCTCTCCTCTCCCGCAGGTTTCTGTCTGCGTCGTCGTCGGAGGGGTTGCTGGGGAGCGCGCCGCGTCCAGAAGTCGCCGTGCCCTGGTCGAGGGGGGTTAGGGAGGAGAGAGTGGGGCCTACATCCAGACGCCTTCCCAGTCCATCAACCTGCGCGGCCGGCCGGCGGGCGGGCAGGTGGGTGGGGCCTCCATGCTCGTCCTACAAATGGGGGGGTGGGGTGGGACTTCTTGGTGGCAAGGGCCCCTTTGTTCAATTGGGGTCACCTCAGGCAGCCCCCTGGGGCCAGCCATATGGGAGGGAAGAATCAACACGGCCGACCGAATCCGGCTTAGGATGAGGCGAGGGGAAAGCAGGCGGGGAGGGGGGTCCTTGTAGAGACACGTACACTCACACGTACACACGTGGCCGCACACATGTGTGGGCGCTGTAGCCAGCCAGGCTGGACCAGCTGCCCCACCATTCCCCGACTGCATGGAGACAGTAGAATTAGTGAACCCCTGAGTTAACCCGTAAGGCCTTCCGTGTAACCTGCATCTAGAGTTTAAGAAGCTTCTGCTGTTTTGCCAGAATTGGCGGTGACTGGGGAGGGCTGGGTGGGTTGGGGGCCTCTGCCGGGACCCCAGGGTGGGTGGAAGAGGACAGCTGCCTTGGGGACGCCCCATCAGCACGCACACGCTTTGGACCTGCTCCACACACTTCCTGCCAGCTCTATGGCAGCCTCCGCCAGTGTGTCCCCCTCCGCCAGTGTGTCCCGATCCCTGTCCCAGCCAGAAGAGTGGGGACCACTGGAGCAACTGGGGCTGGCCAGAGCTTGTCCTTTCTCCCTCCTTGGTGCCCCAGTGGCTTTTGAAGATGCTGGGCCGGGACCTTTTTCCCCCAAAGAGAGCTGGGGGCAGCCAGAGCTGCTGCCACCTACCCCCTGCGTCTCTCCATAAACAAGTCCGTTTCAAGGGCAGTCCATTCCTCTGTGCTTCTGAGAGCCCTCTTCTCAAGTTCTGGGCCTGCCTGTTAACATGAGGGCTGGGGCTGGGGCATTTTATTGATGGTGACAGGATGAAGGTTTATGCTTTGCCAGCAAGAATGAAGCCAAGGGCTTGGAGAAGGGGAAAGGTGATGGACCCCCTGACCCCACACTGTGGCCCTGGGGCTTCCTGGTCATCACGGGGTCCAGTGGGCGTCCAGACCCCACCAGATTGGGGCACTGATTCTAAGGAACCTCTTGGGATTGGTTGGGGATGTGGTCATGTGGGAGAGGCTCCCCTAGAAAGGGAGGGGGCATGGTTATTTCTGAGTTGGCCTTGAAACTGAAACCGGGCCCTGCAGCCCCCTTAATGTTTTCCTTTTTCTCCTCCGCTGCTTTCTCCTTTGGGGCTCCTTTTGGGGTTTTGGGGGGTTTGACTGGATTCCTGCATCCTGGGGCCTGCTCCATCCATCCGTCCGGGGTCCTGGCCCCCACTCCCATCACAGCCCTGTGTCTTCTCTCTGACAGGGTCAGGCCCTGCCTCTATTCCAAGGGGCACTTGGTGCACATTCCATAAACTCAGCTGGTTTTGCCCCGTGTGAAACTCCAGCAGGTCTCTGGAAGCCATTTGTAAAAAAAAAAAAAAAAAGAAGAAAGAAGAAAAAAAAAGTTTTTTTAAAAAAATATCATTTAATTTTCTGGTAATTCCAGTTCCTTGGAGCATCCTCTCTCTGCTAGGTCTTGGGGTGTGTGGATGGATTGGCTGATAGGATTGGTAACCCCTTCTCCACCCAGGATGGGGGGCTCCAATCACCTTCAGGGAAGGGGAGCCTCGTTCTAGTTTTCTTTCTTTTTTTTTTTTTTAAGAAAACTATTTAATTTTTTAATTTATTTTTGGTTGATTTTTGCACAACGAAGTTTCGGCTTCTCAACCTTCTCCCCTGCCCAGGGCTGCGGACCCTGACTGGCCTTGATCTGCAGTCCCCCTCATCCCCACGTCCCTTCTTCCCCCTCATCCTCTTCCTCCTGCGGGCTCCAGGGTCTGTCCATCTGTTACTGTGCTGTGCTGGGGACTGGCGCCAAGGTGGCGTGAGATTCCACTTGTGTAGAACTTTGTTGAGTAAAGATCAGTTTCTTGTGAAACCTGCGGTCTCCATCTGGCCTCCTGTGTCCGTGGCTTTGGCAGCAGAGAAGAGAGATGGAGGGGGGCTTGGGAAGCTTTAGAAATGGGGATGCACAGAACTCAGGAAATAATTGGGGAGTGGGGAGGTAGTTAACCAGCTACACTTCTTGGGATCCCAAGCCTCTCAGTTTTCTTCCCTGTAAAATGGGGAGGTGCATGTGAACGATGAAGATTAAATATGATAATATACATGTGCAGTGTGTTCGCTGGGACATTATAGCTCAGTAAACGAGAACCATTGGTGCTGCAGCCCAGGTTCAAGATCCCCATCTGCCATTGACTAAACTGAGTGGCAAGGCCTTACAGCCCTCTCCTCTTTGGCTGACATTACAACTGCCGATTGCTGGGCAGCTTAGACATTTTTGTAGAAGGCTCAGCCCAGCACCAGGCCTCAGGGAGATATGCAAATATGTTTATGAAGCAAATGAGAAATTGCTCAGCTCTGGGGACACACAAACCTCATAATAAAATCTTGCAAGCTCAGTACGGCCCAAGGATCACCTGTGTCAACCCGGGAACACTAAAAATGCTGACACACATCCAACGGTCGTTCAAATATGTACGTTTCAGTGAGGGGGCATAGAAGTGAAATAGTGATGTGCCCCATAGAGAAAAATACAGCGGGGAGGGGAGGGAGAGCGTTGGGGACAATGGTCGCAATCTTACAGTAGAGCACTCCGGAAAGGTGATGTTTGAGCAAAGAGCCAAGTGGATGTCCGAGGAGTCGGGCGAGGGAACAGCAAATGCTGCTTGGAGATAATTGGTTAACACTGCCTGGCTCAAGAGGCTTTCAGTAAATAAGATGCTGTTTTCTATCAGTGTGATTTTACGTAATTCAGAGTAACTTTCACCCAGGCCTCTGCAGTGTAACTGCATGTTTCTGGCTCCAGAAGCAGAGACAGGAGTTCGAGAATCACTAGTATGTCCCAAACGCGAACCCGGAAAAGGGACTTTGCATTTCTAAGCCCGGTGTCACCTGTGAGGTGCCTTCGGCAAGGCCGCGTTTTTCACACCAGAGTTCGCTGGCCCTCTGCACCAGCACCACCACAGATGCTTGTTTAAAAGACGCAGGAACCAGGAATCTGCACTTTCCAGCCCAAGGCCGAGGCAGCTACAGAACGACACCCCCGCGAGCCAGCGGACTTTCACTAACAAGCCAATTTCCCTGTGAGCCGCTCGCTTCCGGCCTGCGCCGAACGTCATCAGGAGGCGCCGGAAGTGCCCTCGCGCTGCCTAGGAGACAGGACGCGCGGCCAGCCGCTGACAGGGCCGGGCTGGCCGCGCCCACCCGGTCGCTATGGAGCTGCCCCCAGGGCCGCGCGACGATCCCTGCGCCTGGGACGATGACTCGGACCCGGAGCCGGATCCCGACCCCGACGTGCAGGCCGAGGCTTACGTGGCCCGCGTGCTCAGCCCGCCGAAACTCGGGCTGGCGCCCCCGCGCGCCCCTCCGCTGTCCGCGCCCGCCACGTCCCCTGGCGCCCTGGAGCCGCGAGCTGCGCCCAAGGGACCGGCCGTGGGCGCCCCGGGCCTGTTGAGCCTGCCCCCGGAGCTGCTGCTCGAGATCTGCGCCTACCTGGACGCGCGCCTCGTGCTCCACGTCCTGCCGCGCGTCTGCCACGCGCTGCGCGACCTCGTGCGTGACCAAGTCACCTGGAGGCTACGCGCGCAGCGCCGCGTACGCGCGCCCTACCCGGTGGTGGAAGGTGCGCGCGCCCGGGGGCCAGGGTCGCCCGCCCAGGTCGGGCTTGGGGCGGGGGAGAGGGTACCTGGGGTGCTGTGAGCACAGCCCCTGGAGCAGGCTTTCTGGCTCTGGTGGAGGCTGAGGTAGTTCCTCGTGGTGCCAAAGCCCTGACCTCTGGGTGGACCGTGAGGCAGACATTTGGGGTCCTGAGGCTGTGGAAATCTACCTGGGGAGCTGGAGTCCCTCAACTCAGGATCTAATGATCCTCAGGCTTGGGGTCTGGTGGTACCAAGGCCCTGACTTCTGGCTGGTGGTTGTTGACACAGGGACTTGAAATCTCAGGTTGTCAAAATCTGCTTGGGGCTCACGGTGAGCCCGAGAATCTTCAGGTTCTGAGTCTAGCTGCTGAGGCAGCAGCTGGTAATGCCAAAGCCCCTCACCCCTAGAGTCTTGTCCTAGGTGGGGGTGAGGCACGGACTCAAGATCCGGAGCCTGCAACCCTTGAACACAAGCTAGGGTTTAGAGGTTGGGATCCCTGATACCAGCAATCACAGATCCTCAAGCCCAGGGTCTGGGATCTTAGGCAGGGGCTGGTGGTCATTTCCCCTGCCCCCAAGGTCGTTGTCTCTGGGGGATAAGACAACTTGGTGACCTTGAATTGATAGGACTCTCCCAAACTGCTTGATAACATAGATGCTTGGGCCCCATCCATTCCACCGAATCTCTGCACCTGGGGCTTGGGTTCTGCGTCTTAACAAGGCTCCCGGTTTACAGATATTAGTTTGAGCAACACTTCCCTGGGTCCAGTTCAGATGGCTGAGGTGGGAAGTGCTAGCTCCTGCGCCCAGCCTGAGGGTTGAGGGGCTGAGGACAGACCTAAGTGAGGGCAGAGGCAAAACCTTAATGTCCTGAGGCTGCTATCCCTCAGGGGGGCATTGGGGGGGGTGAGGCCTGGGAAAGTGATCCTTAGGCCCCAGTTCCCTAATTCCTGGAAACTTGGGTGAGGAGTTCTAGACTTGCTTGGAAGGTGAGTGGGCTGGTGGGCCCAAGGCCAGAGCCTGGGCCTCCTTGGGGTGTGGTGAGGGATGCTGGTGGGATTCTCTTCAAGTCAGATGCAGGTTGGGCTCCCGGAAAGCCAGCGTGGGCTTGGACAGCTGGTGGGGGGGCAGGGTTCCTGCCCAGTGGGGACCCTGCTCATGCTGCCCCACAGAGGAGGACTTTGACTGGCCGGCGGCCTGCATTGAGCTGGAGCAGCACCTGTCGCGCTGGGCGGAGGACGGGCGCTGGGCCGAGTACTTCTGCCTGGCCGATGGGCACTTCGCTTCCATTGACTCGGTGCTGCTGCTCCAGGTGAGGCGGGAGTTGGTGGTGGGTCAGGTAGGGGTGGCCAGGGTGACCCCCACAATATCGCCTCACTCCCCTCCCAGGGTGGGACGCTCTGCCTGTCAGGCTCACGAGATCGCAATGTCAACCTGTGGGACCTGCGGCAGCTGGGGGTGGAGCCCAGCCGGGTCCTGGTCAAGGCGCTGGGCACCCAGAGGAACAGCACCCACAAGGTGAGGGGGAGGAGGCGTGAGGCCTGAGGGGAGCATCAGGCCTCCTAGATTGAAGTCTTGCTCTGCTATTGTTCGTGTGACTTTGGGTGAGATGAATGACTTCTCTGGGCCTCAGTTTCTACTTCTGTCCAGGGGTCAGTTAGGATGAGGATGAATGAGATGAATATGCATTAAGAGCTTCACTCGCTCGGATATACAGTAGGCGCTCAATAGATGTCAGGTATACCTTGAGAGCCGTAGGGCAGGGCCGTTATGGGGCTGCCCTTGGGAATCAGGCAGCTCTGAGCATGATGTGATCTTGTGAGAAGTGGCCGTGGAGGGGCACCTCCACCAGTCACTGAGGGGGTCTAGGCTGGTGGCCGAGAGCTCGGTCTCAGAGCCAGGCCACTGGGTCCGAATCCCCACTCTGTTACTGCCTGGCTGTGTGACCTTGGGTGAGGGACTCAACCTCTCTGTGCCCCGGTTTCCTCATCTGTAGAACGGGACACATTCCAGTCCTCTCCTCAGCGGGTTTGGTGAGGAACAAGGCGGTCACAGCCAGTGCTCTGTGGATAGGAGCTCCTGAGACAGGAACTGTTTCTGGGCCCGTTTTCCCAATGAAGAAACTGAGGGAGGTTCTCGATTTGCCCGGGTCCCAGAGTGGAGGCTCCCCCTTAATCACTGTGTCCTGGGCCCTCAAAGCGCCGCTGGTGCTGAGTCTCGCAGGACTGACTGAGGAATATTACTGGACGGGGCTGTCTCGTCCTGGCTCCGCAGTCAGACGGGCCCACAGACCTCAGCTCTAATGTCTCCTCGGCGCTGACCGCCCTGGGCTCTTGGGTCCGTCATCTCCCTGCCCTGCGCCTCAGTTGTATCTGTGGCGTGGGGACGATCACATGGCCCGCTCCCGCAGGGCTGGGTGTGGTCGCTGGCGGCGCTGGACCACCGGGTGTGCTCCGGCTCCTGGGACAGCACCGTGAAGCTCTGGGACATGGCGGCTGATGGGCAGCAGTTCGGCGAGATAAAGTGTGAGGGGTCCTGGGCAGGGGGGCCCGGGGTCAGGGCCCTGCCTGGCCTCAGCCCCAGCCCCATGTCCGTGTGTCCCCAGGGGCAAGGCAGCTGTGCTGTGCCTGTCCTACCAGCCTGACATCCTGGTGACCGGCACCTATGACAAGAAGGTGACAGTCTACGACCCCAGAGGTGGGCCGGGGGCCCTAAATGGGGAGAGCAGGGCTGCCTGGGGTCTCCAGGGTCATGCGGGGGCAGGAGACACTGGGCCTCACAGCCTCGCTGGGGTGACAGTCACCTAGCCAGATGCTGACCACTCAGAGTAGCCTGTGCTGTGCCTGGGGCCACAAAGGCACCTGGTGGTGGGGGTGGGGTGAAGGACTGGAGGGCTCCCAGAGGAGGGGCCTCTGAGCCTGAATCCCGTGGGAGGCGGGACAGCCCCTGAGAATCCTGGCTCCCCAATTCCTAGCTTGAACCTCAGTTTCCCCATCTGTAAAATCCGGATAATAACAACTCCAGCCCCATAAGGTTAATGGGAGGTGTTAATAAGAACATCGCGGATTGAATAAGTTCCTCTACATAAAATGCCTAGGAGGCACACTGCCCGGCACATAAGCCTTTTCTGTTATTGTTTATTCATTCTGATTTTAACTAAAGGGCCAGCGTGCCTCGTCCTGGTAGAGCCAGAGCGGGGGGCGTGGGTGGGGGCACGCCCAGGCGCCCTGCAGGAGGAGGTGTTTCATGCTGGGACCGGTGGGCACTCTGCACTGAGAGCAGATGGGATTGGAGGAGAGAGATGGGGTGGGAGATGGGGGGCAGAGGCCTGGGGGTCCTGGATCCAGCTGGGGCGGGAGAGGAGGGGCAGGGTCACCTGCAGGAGGGGGCAGGGGGGGCAGACCGAGGTTTTGCCAGGGAGGATGGAGGCCCAGGATCCTCAGGTGGGCCAGGGCCTCCGAGGGCTCTGATGTCCCCCTCCCCCCGGCCCATCGCCCACGCAGTCGGGCCAGCCCTGCTCAAGAGCCGGCGGCTGCACTCGAGCGCGGTGCTGGCCGTGCTGGCGGACGACCGGCACATCATCTCCGGCAGCGAGGACCACACGCTCGTGGTGTTTGACCGCCGGGCCAACAGCGTCCTGCAGCGGCTGCAGGTGGGCCCTCCTCAGGGCCTGGAGGGACCGGGGCTGGGCGCGGCCCGGCCCAGCCTGAGCTGCTCTGTCCCTCGTCCCTCCCACAGCTGGACTCCTACCTGCTCTGCATGTCCTACCAGGAGCCCCAGCTCTGGGCCGGCGACAACCAGGGCCTGCTGCACGTCTTCGCCAACCGCCATGGCTGCTTCCAGCTCGTCCGGGTCTGCCCCACCCTCCCTGGCCTCCTCCACCTGGCTGGACCCCCAGGGCGGTGGGGGCTGGTCCTGGGAGAGCCAGGCCTGAGTGTCGCCCGTGTCCCCACCCACAGTCCTTTGACGTGGGCCACAGGTCTCAGATCACAGGGATCAAACACTCGCTGGGGGCCCTGTACACCACGTCCACCGACAAGACCATCCGGGTGAGGCCCAGACGGTCCCCTCCCTCCCCCACCGCCACCGGCCAGGGCACAGCTCCTGACCTGTGCCCCTCACAGGTGCACGTGCCCACAGACCCACCCAGGACCATCTGCACCCGGAGCCACCACAACGTGCTGAACGGGGTAAGGCCCAGCCCCGTGCCCCGCCCGGCTGCCTAGAGCCCCCCTGACTCCTCGTGTCTCTGTCCGCCCAGATCTGTGCCGAGGGCAACCTGGTGGTGGCTGCCTCCGGGGGCCTGTCGCTGGAGGTGTGGAGGTTGCAGGCCTGAGCAGGCGGACGAGGACGAGGATGTGGATGTGGATCTGCCGGCCGGCAGGCTGGGCCGCGGCCTGTTCATGGGGGACCTTGCCCCATGCTGGTGCTGTCTCTGCCCTGCCCCGAAGGCCTGGGGCACAGGGAGTCCTGGGCCGTGGGCGGGCGGGGTCCTTGGGCTGGGCCCCACGCTGGGGGGGGGTGAGGTTGGGGTTTCAGCCCTCCAGGGGGCTGCTCCCCACCCTGGGGCTCTGTTATTGTTGTGATTTGGAGCGAAGAGAGCGAAGAAGAAATAAACCTGACGTACTGGTGCTCCAGCCTGGAGTGTGAGCTTGGGGCTGGGACGCCGGGGGCACGCGTGCATCCATGAGAAGATGCACCAAAGCCTCAGCGACAGCCACCACCGAGTGTGTCTGGGTGCACCCACGCCGGCCCCCGTGCATTTCTGGATCGTGTGTGTCTGCGTGCCACCGGGAAGGCGGGTCTGGCTGTGTGTGTTGTTACAGGAACCCTGTGCACGTCTGTGTGCCCATGAGTGTGCGTGTGTGAGGATGAAGGAGGCTTGAGGATGTGGCACCTGTTTGTGCGATGGCACCTCCGTGTGTGTGTGTGTGCGCATATGACATGCATCGGAGTGGCGATTGGATGTGTTTGTGCAGTGGGAGAGGGGATCTGCTAACGCCACCACAGGTGTGGGGACAGGGAGGGGTGGGGGAGGCATGTGCTTTTCCATCCAGGGTCCATGGTGTGTGTGTGTGTGTGTGTGTGTGCGCGTGTGCCCGCTGCTGTGGCCGTGACCCTGGAGTGGGCAGGGGAGGGAGGCTGGGCCAGGTGCACGCCCGGCCCCTGCCAGCCTGCAGCCCCCTTTGCCCCCAATCCCAGCCCGCCAAGCCATGCCCGAGGAGCATTCACTTCACATTTATTGATGCCCCGGGGTCAGAGGATGGCGCAGGGCTTCTTCTTTTTGAAGGGGTTGGTGGCAGCCGGGATGCCCACGAGGAAGGGGTCGCTCTTGGCCTGCTCCGTGCAGAACTGCAGCAGGTCGGTGGCCGCCTTGGACACCTGCAGATGAGCCTGGTCAGCCAGACATGACCCATCCACCTGCCCCTCGCCCGCCATGCTCCCCTCCCCCAGCCCGCACCTTCACGCGGTCGATGCCGGCCTCCATCCGCAGCTGCTCCACCGCCTGGCGGGCCCGCCCAATGTCGCTGCCAACGGCCACTTTGCTGGACATCTGGGGGAGGGTAAGCAGGACTGTAGGCAGCAGGCTCAACTCCAGACCCAGAGCCCTAGGGCTGCCTGAGGGTCCCCGCACCTCCTCCCATGTCCCCTGGGGACTGCGGGATGAGGGTGGCTGCTCCCCGACCTCTGTCAGGACCCCGTACCTCAGCTGAGGACTCGGGCTGACTCCTGGCTGCTCAGTCCTCCTCCAGCGCCCCGCTCTGACTCTCTCCCTGCACCAGCCCAGCCTCTCCAACTCCCTCCTCCCCTCCGCAGAGACTTTGAAGCCAGGACCTCATGGAGTGAAATGTCACCAGTGGTGGTGGCAGCAGCTGCCTCAGCCAAGGGGGTCTCTGCCGCAGGAGGCCCAGTGGCTGTCCTGGTGTCACGTGTCACCTTCCCCGGGGGAGTGCGGGACCCTGGCCTCCCACTCACCTGCTTGGTCCTCTGCTAACCTGCCCCAACACTCCTCCTTTGCCAGCCTCTGTCCCCCCAGTGTGTGGAGGGGACCCCGCCCCGGGCACAGCCCTGCCTCTCCTCTCCTCTCCCCTCACCTCCCTGGGGATCTCATCCGCAGACGGCGCAGTCCACTTGCCTATGCGGACGGCATCCTCTGCCCCTTCGCTCTCAAAGGAGAGCGGCGTCCAAATCACAATGGGCGGGGCCCGGTCCCTGACCTCAGAGCCACCCGAGGCCCCTCCTCCCTCCTCCATCCACCACACTCATCTCTCGGGCGACTCGCACCGAATTAGGCTAAAGCTGGGCTCCAGATGACCTCCCCCCAGACCCTCTGCCCCCAAATACACCACCACCACCCAACTGCCCTGGCCTAAATCTCCAACTCCTTCATTTCTCTCTCCAGTATTCCCACAGCTAGTCCTTTCTCAAGAGCCATCAATGGAAACTAGACTTTGGGTGGTGAACACTGTGCAGTCTATACAGAAGCTGAAATATAATGTACACCTGAAATTTACACAGTGTTCTAAACCAGTGTGACCTCAGTGAAAAAAAACCCATTAGATCAACCTTCAGATTAGGTTCTCAATCTAGTCACTTCTCTCGACCCCTGTTGGTACCACCTTGGGCCCACCGCCCCACCCTCTCCGCTCCCCTGGACCAGAGCAATAGCCTCCGCCCTCGTCTCCCCTGTCCCGCCCACCCTTCCCCGTTCTCCTCAAGGCAGCCAGTGGCATCTGATAGAAAATAAATCACATCAGGGCCAGCCCTGTGGCTTAGTGGTTAAGTGCATGCGCTCTGCTGCTGGCGGCCCGGATTCGGATCCCGGGCGCGCACTGACGCACTGCTTCTCCGGCCATGCTGAGGCCGCGTCCCACATACAGCAACTAGAAGGATGTGCAACTGTGACATACAACTATCTAATGGGGCTTTGGGAAAAAGAAAAAAAGGAGGAGGATTGGCAGTGGATGTTGGCTCAGAACTGGTCTTCC